AGCAAATTTCATTATTTTTGCTGATATTCAATATAATTCTCATTTTAACCCCAAAAAATTTTTCTCATCCTCAAATTTTCCCCCATCTCCTCTTTTACCCTAAATTTTCAATTTAAAAATTTTCACTCCTCAAATTTTCGTACAATTTTCTTATTTTGATTCATTTTTTGTCTTAATTTTCTCAAATTTTTGTTACAATTAAGTCTTTTTAAGCTATTTTCCTAAGGCTAAATTTTTTTGTAGCAAATTTCGTTATTCTGGTGTGTCTTATTATCCTAATAATGTCAAAATTTTGCTCAAGATTTAAGTTCTTTTGCAAAAAATTTCTTTCTCCATTAGTAATTTATGTTGTAAAAAATGGCATAATAAATTTTAATTTACATGGTATTTCGAATTATTTCAATAACTTTAAAAACTCTAACTGATAATCGGCTTTAATATATATGATTCTTGAACTTTATGTGACTATCCCATGATATGTTTAAGCCAATTGGTGCTATTTTAGGGCTCGCTAACCCGGGAATGGTTGAAAAACCATTACTGCCTAGTGCCATGAGTTTGATATGTTACAGGTGGAGAAAGCACGAAAAAGAAGCGAGTGCACGAGCAAGTAATTGGGCCCAAATCCAACTGTCTCGGGGAGGAGATGCAATTGGGCCGGGAAGAGGAATTAAGTGGACATGGTCCATTTAGTTGAGCCGGCCATAATTAACTAGGAACGGAAATTCTTATGGGTCGGGATTTGCTTTTGGCGAATCTTTGTGGAAGAAAAGCAGAGGATTGGCGAAAGGATTTGGGCCAGGATTTTTTGGACACGGAATCTTCTGGTGGCTATTATTTTTGGACAGGGGACGGAATTCTGGTGGGGGAATTACTTTGGAAAAAAAGGACGGCAGCAAAGGCTTTGGGGGGATAGAAAAGAAGGCGGCGGAATTATATTTGGGCTGGGGGATTTTATTGGACAGAGAATTGGGACGGAAGCTGGGGGATCTTCTAATTTGCTGGCAGTGGACGGAATTGCTAGGGAAAAGGAATTCTTTGGGCGATCGAGAGCGAGGAATTGGAACAGCTGCAGCGAACAACGAGGAGGAGCGCAGCGACTGGAGCATATCACTATTACCACGTATCGAAAGAGAGAATCAGATTTTGTGCTTCTATTCGTATCAGTATTTTCTCTCCTTTTCGTTACTAGCATTATGATGAACAAGAACATGATTGTGTGTTTTATTTTCGTCATGAACTAAACCCCGATTTATGGGGGAAACACCATAGGATGCAACTATTTCTATATTTGATGGATTGATTCATATTTCTTTTCTTCCAATCTCTATTGCATGAAATTAATTAATGTTTTGTGTTGACTGGCCACCAATACATTGATTTGTTGTTAATTAGGTTATTAGCGACAGTGAAACCTAATAACTGAACATATTTCATGTGACATAGTAGCTTATCGAAGCGACATTGGATTAAATAAGATGCTATGCTGTCTTAAATAGGATATCGTTCTTCAGGCTAAATAGTTAAGAGAAATTTTACAATGCTATATAGTATTGGTGCTATAGGATTTTGCCTTTATGGTACAACTTAAAATTATACATTTACGTTATGGTACAACTTCAGATTGTACCTATACTTTTTGTACAAATTCTTTTATGGTACAACTTGAACTTGTACTTTTATGTGATGATACAACTTCAAGTTGTAAAGTTGTACCATAACATAATGGTACAAATTGCTTTATGGTACAACCTAAACTTATACATTTAATGTTATGGTACAACTTTAAGTTGTACATTAAAGCACCAATACTATATAGCATAGTAGAAGTGCTCAATAGTTAATTCATTGAGCTACGACAGTAGGATTTGAATTAATTGTTTAGTACGTAGTAATTCCCGAAAAGGATAGCTAGCACATTCGTGATATCCTGACTGTAGAGAGTTGAATTAAATTGATTAGAATATGTGAATTAATCTGGATGGGATAGGTAGTGAATCCCGGTGTTTCTCCCAGAGCTTTCTCCCATTGAATTTCCCTTGACAAGTTTAATTTGCTTAATTAGTTTATTTTGATTTTAGATAATTAGTCTCGTTAAACCATTTTCACCTATAGTTTGCTCTATAAATTGATAGAATATAAGGTTGTACCAGTCCCTGAGAGACGATACCCGGATTTCCGGTTTACTACAAGATAGGATTAAGGTATATACGCTTTTGCCCTATCACTAACCTACTAATTATGAGTTCTCTTTTACATTATATTATGAAACCTCTAAAAATTTAATTGGCCCCCTACCTAAATTTCTGGCTCCGTTCCTGATATTAACCCTAAATAAAAAGTAAAAACATAATAGATTAACAGAGAGAAAAATGAGCAAAAATTATGGTCAAGAACTAAATATCCAGAGCATGGGTCTCGAAAGCTTTGATGGATCATCCTTTTTGGGCTTTATAGTAGCTTTGACTAAGAGCCCAAGTGAAAATGCGAGACACGTGAACAAAATTATGGATGAAAAAAATATTCGTAATCGTGGATATCCGCCCGAATTCGGTCTAATTGGGTAGGGTAAAATTCGAACCCGAAAGAAATTTAGTGGGTATGGGTAAAACCCGAACCCGAATATTACGGGTAATGGGTGGGCATGGGTTTCTCACTATCCAACTCGAACCCGCCCGATTATACACATGCATATGTATTTTGTCTAGAAATAATCATTATTTTTCTATAACATATTTTATGTTAAGCATATAAATATAATATTTTCATGAAATTGTGTAGTTTTAATTAATTTCTTCATTCTAGTGAATTATTGTCGTACTTTTCCTCTTACGTAATGTGAGATTACGTCTGAATGTTAACATATTGGTTGGAGTTATGAAGATAAATTATTATTCATGGATAACCGTGGGTACCCGAAACCCGAACCTGTATGAGTATAGTTTTGATTTTCTACCTGTTTCATATGTGGGTATGAGTATGGGTAAAACCCTAACTACTATAAGTAGGGTAACGGATATGCACTATCCGACATCCGCGCCAAACCCGAGCCATTACCATCCCTAAACAAAACTAGCTTTTTACCCGGCCCGTTGGCCGGTGAGTTTCATTTTATCATTTACATTAATCAATTTATCTATATGTTTAAATTATTTTGGATCTTCTAAATTTTTTACATTTGCATTCATATGTGAGTATGCAGTGCGTCTATAAATTAAAAATTCTCAATACTTAGCACATTCACTTATGATGTTTCGATTATCTGATCATAAATCATGTCACAAAGATATATCACGTCCCATATAGAATCTTATGTCAAGATTTGCCAACAACGAGACTCAATTTTTTTTTTTATCTTGTACAATATATGTCATTCAATGAATCTCGAATTTGGACGAACTCTTAACCAATAGGGGTGGCTATACGGTCCGGTCCGGTTAAATTGGCCCAAATTGATCCGGTCCGGTCTTTTTGAAAATATAAGGACCGAAGATTGGAATGGATACAGTCCGGTCTTGATCCGGTCCGGTTTTGATCCGGTCCGGTCCCAATTCGGTCTTGATTTTACATTGAGATTGTGGGATTTGAGTGGCCTAAGGCCTTAAAGGGTGAGGAGTTGGTTAAGTTTTGTACTAAGTGCAAAGGTTTGTGGCCGTTTATGCAAATTACCCTTAAGTTTTGGGTGTTGAGCTCTCTTATCCGGTCTTTATCCGGTTTTTTACCTCAAATCTAAGCCCAAAGATTGGATTGGATTGTTTACTATCCGGTCCCGGTCCGGTCTCGGTCCGGGTTATACGGTCCGGTTTTCGTTTTTAATCCGGTCCCGGTCCAAATAGCCACCCCTATTAACCAATGATGTTGCTCAGATGACGACAACTTAGTTAGAATTTTTTTATAAAGGTACTTCAATATCAGATAAATTTGGTCATCCCAATTGAAAGTTTACTACCTTAGTTTATGATCATATTTGTCGATCAAGACACTCAATTTAATATCTTATACAATATGTATCAATTGTTAATACCTAAAGTTTAATTTTTTACTCACCCTCAACTCATGGTCGTTGTTTAGATGTTGGTTTAGAATCTCGGTCCAAGAGACTCACACACTGTCGAGGGTTCTAATCTTAACATGGTCCATTAGTGTATAATTTTCTAACTTATCAAATATGCATTTGCTAAAATTTATTTATCTTTGGTGTTTGTTTTGGGATAAAAATTTCATTACTTATACTAATATCTTCATTTTATTGGTGCAGTGCCACATCCCTAATCAATATCTAAGCATGATACTATACTCTAAGTAAGAAAACGCTATCAGAATCACGAATTAACTTGATTTGTGGGCATGATACTATACTCTAACCCTTGATAAGTGAACCCGAGGTCTTAGTTATCTAAATCATAGAGCTTAACCCCTAAGATTGTGAAGGTAATTTGTTGCATATATTTTTTCGAATCATGACCGTTGATTTTTGTTTATAATTAAACTTATCTTAGACTAACTCCAACCCAAATGTGCATTTTTAGCCTCTCAAACTCTCAAATGTGCATTTTTACCTCCCAAAACACTTTTTTTCTCCAATCCTAAACCTTCTAAATTTGCCTTCCCAACTCATAACCAACCAATCAAAAATTAAGAAAGTAAAAAAAAAAAAAAAACTGCTGGAAAGTGGACGGCCCCACCGTGCCCCTGCATGTGGGCTTTTGCTGCCGCATGGTCCCCACCTTCTCCTTGCATTTTTCCATTTGGCTGTCATCTATCCACTCCCATGCCCACTTATCCAAATTTGCAAGCCAAGTTTTATGTGGGTTGGAGAGGAAAAAGTGGGAAAACATCCCTTTCTCCAAATTTGCATCCTTGGGTTGGAGTTAGTCTTAGTGTATGAGATTTATAAATTTAAGACCTAGATTTTAATCTTTAAGGCTTTGAGAATAATACCATATGTCAAACTCTAGTCAATTCAAGGTCTATATATCGTTTTCTTACTCAAGGTATGTCATAATATACATATACAAATATAAAGATTTTAATATATTTTAAGTGTAATTAACACCTTTGTTTGACCGAAATATGTAAACTGTTCAGAAAAATAAGGGAAATATGAACAAATGTAAGAGAAAATAAGGTGTGGAAACATGCATTATAAGAGAGAAGAAAAGTTGTATTTCTTTACCGCCTTCATTTGTACAATCAGATACTACATTATGGCTTCGTCATGTTTCTATTAAAATGAAAAAAAAAACAACTTTTGAAGTATTTTGCTATTTAATACTTGTTTTTGTTGATAGATACAAATATTAGAAAAAGATAGTGTTTGTTAACCAAAACATAAAATTATATAGTTGGTTTTTCAAATTCAATTGATTATTAAATGTTGATTATCTAAACTTCACTATATTAAGTTCTAATAAAAATAAAAATTAATTGATCAGATTTAATCAAATATTATTTTTTTAAATTACAATATATGTCACTCTCCGAACGTAAGTATACTGCTGCTACACATATATATTGCAAAAATATTATTGAATAAAAAAAGAAAAAATTAAAAGAAGATAGAGATAGCTACATAAATGATCATTAAAATAAAATAAAAATATTTAAAGAAGATAGATATAACTACACTAATTGATCATTAATTAACTTTTTTGTTTGTAAAAAAGAGTGTCCACCATGACACCTTGTAAATTTTCCAAATGCTTATGTGACAACAAACTACTTTTGAATTGTCATAATATTATGTATAGATAGGGGCGCGTGAGGGAGCGGAGCAGCAGAGGAGAGAGAGTTGCGTCAGTCACGGTCACGGTCACGGTCACGACGGAAGCGGCGGAGGAAGAGAGAGACGGGGAGAAGTAGAACAGTCAGCAGCAGTATTATAATCACTACCGTCCACAAAGTCACAAACGCAGTGGAGTTTTCAGTAGCGAGCATAGCAATTAGCAAAGCAGCCCGCAGTAGAAGAGATTTTAAGAGAATCGAGCAGTTCCCCCCAACGACCCAAATATCTAATTCCTAATCTATAGCGACGCAATCCCTCCACCCTCGCACCTAACTCTTCTCCCTTGTTTCGCTTCCGCAGACACGCCATTCATCGCCTAGCTCGTCTCTTGAAAATTTACGACCCCCAGATACCAAAACTGTCCCCTGTCTCCCGATTTTGTTCTTGGGTTTTGATAAATTTGGCAACCTGGGTCCGCCGAGCTCCTCTTCATCTCCCTCAGCCATGGACGTTGATCCTCCTAATTACGACCACGTTGTGAGTATCTATCTCTCTCTTTCTCTATTCCATTTTGGGATCTGGGTTTACGTTTTTGTTTTTTGGGTTCCCTTGATATGCTACTTCGAACTTGTTGACGTATTTCAGCCGTTGACCCGCTAGGGGATCATTCATTCGAACGAGAACCCTCTGTGGATTGTCTTTTGGTGTTTTCTGGGGTTCCAGTGTTGCGTTTGTACTTCGAGTGCAGAATGAATTTCTTGCACCCCGTGTCTCTAAAATGTGATTTTGAGCCCAAAGTTGCGTGCTTTTGGTCACGAATGCCATTTGGTTTTCTTTCCCGAGCTATTCTGATTAGGCTGTACCGAGATGAAGCTGTCCTTGCAACCATTGAATGTCTGGTTAATTTCGTCATGCTCCTCGAATTTTTTGTTCGCAGACAATCAATGACAGTGATGTCCACAGTATTGTTCTTTCGTACTTGGTCCACAATTGCTACAGAGAAACGGTGGAGTCATTTGCTGCTAGCACGGGGATGAATCAGCCTGCTGATTATCTGGATGGCATAGAGAAGCGGAAAAGTAGGTGATAATAGTTCATATTGCAATGGTTTACTTCAGAGTACTTTCCCATGGTTGGGTACTTAGGTTGCTGCTCATATGGCCGGCCATTAGTTTCATGTGTTTGTGAAAATGAGTGTTATACTCTTCTATTAGGAAGACATACATTTTCACTGTATCCATTCATAGCTATCATCTTCCTTCCTTATCGTGCAATGTGCCTAGTGATATGCAGATATGGAATCTAATATTAATAGTTTCCTTAATCATTCATTCGAGCTGTTGCCAAATTTGCAGAAATTTTTGAGTGTGCACTAGAGGGAAATGCACTCAAGGCGATCGATCTGACGGAACAGCTGGCACCCGATCTACTAGAGAGCAACAAGGACTTGCATTTTGACCTCTTGAGCCTTCATTTCGTTGAGCTTGTTTGCTCCAGGAAGTGGTGAGTGAACAGTATACTATATGAAAATCCAATGTCCAAAAAGTCAGAAGTTAGAACCTAATATGTCTAGTTATTTGTGTGTGCCAAGCAATGAAGCCCTGGAATTTGCTCAGACCAAGCTTACTCCATTCGGGAAGGTGCAGAAGTACGTTGAAAAGCTTGAAGTAAGTTCCCTTTTTCCGTGTGAAGAATCATGATAAGTATTTCAACATTGTACCAAGTATTAAATGCTCTAGTTATGTGGCAGGACTTCATGGCGCTACTTGCATATGAGGAGCCAGAGAAATCTCCAATGTTTCATCTTCTCAGCTTGGAGCACCGTCAGCAAGTTGTCGACAGTTTGAACCAAGCTATTCTTGGTTTGTTCTTTTAGTTTTGATTCTTCTATATGCTTCACCATTAGCAATTTCGTATTAGTTACTTATTCGTGATTGTGATTAAATCATTCAGCACACGCAAAGCTTCCAAGCCACACTCCAATGGAGAGGTTGATACAACAGACAGCAGTGGTCAGGCAACTTCTGAATCAAGATCACGCCAAGGTAAAGTTTAAGAATAAACTTTCTCCCTTCTTTCTTGCTTTCTCACAAACTTACAATATCATTGAGTGTGGCTGATTTTAAACTTCCACTTTGAAGGATGGGCATCCACCATTTGCGTTAAAGGACTTTCTCAATGGCTAAGGCTGTGTGGGGAAGTGTTGGAACCATCGCGGCAAGATGTAAACACCGGTCAGCTAGCATGTCAACGCCGCCAAATTGGTTCTGGGTATATATATAGTCATTAGTCAGTCGCCACGGTCTCACACATCAGTTAGAAGTTGCTTGTGCAACGAGTTCAGCTCTGATTTGTGTTCTGGCCAAGCGCTACTCATCTGGATTCAGCCTTAGATGAAATCAGAGATGAAAGCTTCAATCAGTCTTAGATGACTGGCATTTCGGATCACTATGGCTTGAAAATGAGTTTTTTCTTCTTGGCTTGTTAGGTTTCACTGTGGGCAATGAGATTGCAAGAGGCTATCTGCAGTTTGTCAATTCAGAATATAAAGCTGTGTTGGCTTATTTCTAAAAGCAAATGTCGCTTGTAGTTGTAGGTTGATGCTTTGGAGTTGAACCAGCTCATTAGATTTTGTTATAACAGCAACCTCGACTATGGAAATTTTGAGGCTTAAAGGCTAAAGCACTCAGACTCAGTTGATGGGCTTGAAGTCCAGTAGTTCATGGAGTTTAGTTGAGAGGCAAACCCGTTCCATATATTTACACGTACAAAACGATCACCCGCCATTTTTCTGTTACTAAGAAACCCGCCTAAACCCAACGAACTGCCTCCGCAGTTCTCTAAAGATAATGCTCTCCGCCTCTCCCTATCTGCTTTCCAGCCATCTTCCTTTCTCCGGCCACGGCGGCGACCGGAGGCTCTTCCACCGTCCACATTATTCATAAAAGTCTTTGTCTCTCTTTCCATACCTCGGTCCGTCTTGGTCTGCAGTTCGGTCTTCTTTCCACCCCCTCCTCGAAATTGCAGGCTACGTGTTTGTTGAAATGCCGCACTGAATACCTGAGCCCTGCTGCTCTTCTTCCCTCGCAGTATTTTTCGAGAAGTTAGGATTTTACAAAGTCGAAGCAGGCTCCTCCAGACACGAACCCTGATGATATGTGGTGCAAGATAGTGGCTTGAATGCTAAACCACTTTGCTTTAATTTCTGTAACTGCTATAGTGTTTCGTGGGATTTTTCTGACAGATTTAGCTTGTTGGACGAACCAGAGCATAAGAAGAAAAAGCTAATGACACCAACCAGTAATGTTCTGAGTGATGATAGTCGATGCTAACGATCGAGTCCTGATTGCTTTACCTAGAGAATAATTATGATATGCATTGGATAGTTTAAGTAGGTCAACAATATCTCTTGCCTCGGCCGTCTTGATGGTGATCCAGTGGCAGATCTGAGATGCATTCATCTTCAGCAGCATTGGCAGATCTGCTTGGTCTTATAGTAGGTGTTCATGGTATGATGAGAGTTCAGGTTTTAATCCACCAATCAATTCCAGGCTTCTCGTGACTAAAAATCCTGACATCTCTCTTACTGCACAGGGTCTTTTACGAAATTTTCCAAGGCACCTTAGGAGGACTCGGGTGCTTGTTCATGTCGTCGATGCAGCTGTAGAGGACCCTGTGAATGACTAGAGAATCGTGAAGAGAAACAGGGTATCTTGAGAAATCTATGGATTCCACTTCACTGGTTGTCTCCTTGATATGAACTAAATCGACCCTGTAATGTTGCGGGCAGGAATTGAGGATGTACAATCCCAGAAATGGTGCCCGAAAGCAAGTGATGAATTGGTTCCTCATAATTGTGATGTAAGAGAGGATAAAGATGTAGAGAGGACTATGCTCGCCCCTTTTGCTGTTGTGGGAGTTGGTGTTGTGTAAGTTTTTGCTCAAATTTTCATCCATTGTTCTTGAACACGAAGTCTCCTGTCATAATTCTGACATTCTTCGCTTGTTGTTTCCAGGAAAGGAGTCAGGTTAAAGGAGAAGTTGAAGCAGATTCGAGCTGCTTCAACTTGAAACACAAAACCAAGAGGTCCAAATGAGTCCACCATTCGAGCTATTGGGCTATAATAATCCTGTTACCATGTAAGATGAACTCTGTGAATACTAAATTGTAATGTGATCGTTCCTAACTAAAATCAGGATGCACATTTCCCGTCCTCTCTGAATGAATGTATCTAACAAAGTAGTAGTAGTAACTATCCGACACCACATAAATAAAAACGTCGTCTTCTGCGTCCGACATTGAATAGTAGCGCCCCCATTTCTGCCACATGCTTACTGAGAGATATGGTGTTGTTGTCAGCAGCCAAGTAACAGATGATGATGCTAAACAAGGTACGGAAGTCGTTGTACCTTTGAACTCTTCCACTCTGTAATGCTCTGTTCCATTGTACCTGGCCGTAAGTTGATACGATGTATAGCAGCAGCAGGTCCGGTCCGTAAGACAAATGCTACTACAAATGAGTATCTCCCATGACACTTGTTGACTGCATATTTTGCATGCTGGTGTGTGTGTATGTAGACTGGATAGTGGATATCGTCGTCATTGTGTTACTGAAAAACACGTTTGAAAAGGAAGGGGTAGGCTGAATATTTTATTAATGACCAGAAGACTCTGCAAAAGTAAAACAGACCATAGTTCAAGAGTGGGATTATGTGAATATATATAGGTGACTACTTTGGTGCACTCACAAAAATAAGTACATTCAATGCATCTAACTCAAAAATTAGTTTGAAGGTGTCGGAATTTGAATTTGAATTTGTAGAATTAGTGATGAACATATGATAACAACTAATTAGTGGATTACTCTAAGTCCTAGACCTCCAATTTTGAGCAAACTGTAAACCCTAACCCTAACCTTAACCTTAAATCTCTAAACTCTAAATCCTTCAAATTAGAGTAAATCTTTAATGGTTAGTGCAAATTCATGTGCGTTATTATTCATCACATCATAAGTGATGATTGACATCATTTTGACATAAATTGCATGTTTAAAATGACGGTTATAAAGGGAGTGCACACAAAAAAGTAATTACACCGAAAACACCACTATATATGTGTAATAAGAGGAAATGAATCAATCTGTTGCAAACAAAACAGAGCCCTCAGATTGAATCTGCGGTATTGACGTTTAGGGGGGAGAGATTCAGCACTCAGCAGTAGCTAGCCGCCTCCTTTTATCTTATCTGCGTACAGCGTACTTCATCAAGCAAATGGGCCCCACAGTGTTGGGCCCTTGCCTGCGCCCCTAAACTTCTGAAAGTTTTTCTCGAATTATGTATAATTCTTTTTTTAATGGTTGGAGACTTGGAGCTATATATAATTATTAGGTGAAGTTGCTAAAAAAAAATTAAGCTAAAAAAATTATTATTACATGAATGGTCACTCAACATTGGAGCCAGTAATAAATTAGTCACAAACTTCATTTTTTCTAATAAATAATTTAATTTTTTCAATACCTGAATGGTCCCTTCCAATTTTTATACTCAATTTTTCAAAATTTCCAATGAAATTCGCCGTTATATAAAAATAAAACATTATCTAGACTTTGAATTAACTACATTTTGAGATATTGTAAGATACTTTATATCCAATTTGAGTAAATTTTAATAATTCCTTATTCTCTAAATTATATATCCTAGGATCAATTTAATTAAAAATAACGATCAAACGATTCTGATTCTTTGGAATATACAACATATTAAATGCACCATTTTAGAGTTAAGGTTCACATAATTAAGACCTACTCATTAGAGTTTAGAGTATAATATAATATTCCAAAATTTGGTTAGTCCAAAAATGAAGATAATTTTTTTTTTCTTATACTAAGGATATCTAGTACTCTCATATTTACCATGAGTATTATGAAATCCATCTTGCACACTTACTTAAGTTTTCTATTATCGTATAGACTTGTAGAACATAATTAACTGTTACAAATGCACTGATACGGATCGGGAAACCACCGGAATTGAGAAAACAAGAATATGAAAGCGAGAATCGAAAACAGACACACGATTTACGTGGTTCACTAACACAATATGTGTTAGCTAGTCCACGGGAATGGGAGAGCCAGTTTCACTATATCGAGGAGATTACGGATTACAGAGGAGATGAGAAGTATTTATACTTCTCCATAGGGGTGAATTTTCAGTTATTTCGGTTATTACCGATAACCGAACGGTCGGTTATCGGTTAACCGAAAGGCATGCCTCCCAACCGACAAGGCGACAACCGACCGAAATAGGCTTCGGTTATCTCGGTTATCGGTTAACCGCACCTCCTCCAAGACCAAAATCATCTCGTCCAGCCTCTGATAACCAACCAAATTTCGGTTTTATCGGTTACCGGTTAGTGCATAACAAGTCAGTTATCGATTTAACCGACTGGTTAACCAGAAACCGGTAACTGAACCTCCAGCCCTACTTCTCCATGTGGGTCTAAACCTAATCCAATATTGTAAAGAAAACGATTATAAACCAGAACCAAAACTGACAACCCAAACGTGTATCGACTCATACATTGTAACTTCCAGTCAGCACCGTAAGAGTTGAAAGAATTACATTTTAAGCACCGAACCACAACATACTTTAGAGTTGAATGAGCTATGGCGCATGCATAATCTTTCAAACCCGTTTGTAAATAATACCCGTGACAATTTAAATGATGAATGTATTTTAAAAGCGGGTGAAAGATTGTAAGAAACTAATTAAAGTCATCTTATATATTTTCTTCTTACATATATCATACGACCCATCTTAAATGAAACCTTTTGGCTACGCCATTGTCTCTCTATGCATCTACGACTACACACGGCAAACTCATCGAAGCTAACAGTTCAAACGTATACAGCCATGTATGTGATCAGCATAAGATTTTCTCATCATAGTTAGCCTGCAGGACTTATATATAGTTACAAAATTTATCATTTAAGATGGATTGAATATGAGTTAAAATAATGTATGGTTCGATTTGTGAATATTTGGATAGTTGCTCCGAATTATATAGTGACAAATTAATAAGTACCCAAATTTAAGTGATCAGTAATGTAATTGACCTCCTGTCCTCCCTTTTTCTTCTCTTGTGTGTCGAAGGCATTAAATCCCTGAAGCTGCTGCTGCTGCTTCACCAGCATGCATGCGTACAAATACATGATTGCCAGTTTGCCACCTCGTACAGTTTGAGTGCTACGGAATTCCCCACGTGTATCAAAAAGCCGAAACCACATCGCCATGAAAGTAAAAGGTTGAAGGCAGCCGTACGTTGGTGGTGTGTGTTAAAATTTTCCTGTTTTGTCCTTTTGGGAATGATACATTCCTCCTTTCTCTTGATCTCATCACCCTTTAATTTCTTACGGCCTTATCCTCCCCACCCCAACCTTAATCCCTTCAACCCCAAACCATTGAAATTTGAAAGGTGCTTCATTAATTGGGGAGTGTGCTTAGCTTGCTTACTTAGTCTTTATATACCCACTTCATTACAGGGATAGTTGATCCCTATAGTTTGCCTAAACCAAGATGTTTATGTCATTCATTGCAATTAACTCGAGATTCATTTCATTGATGTCAGTAGTTGTAATGTTGAATTACATGTAGTCTATAACGATATTGTACTTATTATCAATCATGTGTCATATTACACACAGATTACGCGACAAATGTTATTCAAATCCACCTATTAGTTTCAATTAGTTTGGGGCGTGCAACAATTAGCTCCTCGTTCTTTTTACCCTAATAATGCCACTTGAGACAAAGTCCACTTGGCAAAGAGGGGGGGATAGTAGCTTAGCAACATAATCCGTTTTGTGTTTAGCTGCGGACACGATTCCCTTCCCGCCAAGTCTCCGCCCCCACAGCAGCCATCTGTAACCCCCACGTTTTCAGGCATTGTTTGGTTTGCTGAATTGTTCGGGAAATGGCCAACATTTTATGTAACATTTCGAACCTTTTTTCGACGAAGATATTGTATGTTTTGGGCTTCGATCCTCACGGTTTTTGACTTGAGGTGCAATTCAAGGTGACTTCTCATAAGGTTTCTCATCATTGTTGTACTCCATACTGAACACATTTAGCTTTAAAGTTCTCACAAGAACTCCTCCGATCCATCTCACCCCAAAATGTGTCTTGTCAGTTAAGGTTGATTTCCTGCATATTTATCATGGATCTCTCCCGTATTTTGTCGATGTGGGATTCGCCTATCCTGTTACATTTTATGATTTTATGGGTGGTTCGCAAACCACCCATGAAAACCCATTATGATGGGATGCATCGTGTGCTGTTTTGTTATGCATTTGTGAAAGGTGGATTTTGGTACTTGGGCCAATATCACGATAATATTGTACCAACACATTTTCTTAATGCGTATTTCGAAATGGTGATTTGTCATTCGAAAAAACCTATGAAATGATATTTTGTATCGTTAAATACAACAAACTATTTCTTGTATAAATTCGAGTATTGAAACTAAATGATTTGTTTATTAGACATGGTATCATAGTTTGTTTGTTGTTAATGTCATGTGTTCAAATTCTCACTAATCACTCGGTGTTACAAACCTGTACAAATTTCAAGCTCATGAGTTTCATTTCATTCGAAATAACATACAAAGAAAGTGATTACATAACATTATAGATCTCTCTCAACAATACCTAACAAACTAAGTGATACCATTCTACCACTTTTCAGTATGCCATTTACCATATCATCAGCCTAGAACCAAGTATTGAAACTCTGCACAACTGCCACGACTGAATATATTTCTTATCTACTTTTTTATTTTCCTAGTTACAAAATTCCAAAGCCAAACAATGCCTTCCTCTTTTGTTTCCCATTTCCCGTCTTATCCTTCTACATCCCCATTATAAATACGTAAAATCCAGCGCCCTCCTTCCTTCGTCCCCAAACAAACTCTCCCTCCTTATCACCACCTTTCATCATCTCTCCCTCCATCTCATCACCACGGCCACGTCATCACCGTCCACCATGGCCGGACCCGGGTCTGACAGTTCCAAGCCGCCGCAGCAGCCACAAGTCCGCAAGCCGCCGGCCCAGGCCAGCTCGAGAAAAGGCTGCATGCGGGGGAAAGGCGGGCCCGAGAACGCACTCTGCACCTACAAGGGAGTCCGCCAGAGGACGTGGGGCAAATGGGTCGCCGAGATACGCGAGCCCAACCGCGGGGCCCGCCTCTGGCTCGGCACCTTCGACACCTCCCACGAGGCCGCCCTCGCCTACGACGCCGCGGCCCGCAAGCTCTACGGGCCCGAGGCCAAGCTCAACCTGCCCGAACTGCTGCCGCTCCAACAACAACACCACCACGCCAACAGCTCGGGCAGCTTCGGGCAGGCTGCCCCTTTTGTTGGGGCTGTGGACCCCACGCAGTCCCTGAAACGCGAAACACTTGGTTTCGCGGTTTCGGGGACTGCACCAACTGGTTCTGCTTCTCTCTCCTCTTCTCCTTCTTTGTCCTCTTCTTCGTCTTCCTCCTCCAACAACGTGCTGCCAACCATGGGCAGCTTCGACCTGCCGGCGATGGTGTTCGGCGGCAGCGGCGGCATGGGGTACTCGAATTCGAGCGGGGACGAGGTAGGGGGGAGCGAGTTCTGGTCGAACTTGCACGTGAACTTGCCGCTGTTTGACGATTCCATATGGGCGGAGGCTGCCATGTCGCTGGACTTCCCGATGCAAGAGCCGGCGGGGATGTTCGCCGGAGGGGCGATGGAAGGAGGGAGCGGGTGGGACGCGGCCACCACAACTCCATGGTGCATGTAAATTGTAAATTAAACACACTTTTCATTTAGAAAACCCATAGAAAAGGAACATTAATAGGAGTGATCTAAGTCATGGTCCACTAATCAGGTTTAATTACTATCTGATTTGATGGAACGTGTTTAGAAATTACCAGTTAGGAAAAGAAAATAAGGGTACATACATCAAACATGTATAAATTGTTATATATATTCCAACAGGGAGTGTAAATAAATAGTATAGAAAATAGGCAAAGCTAGTGGCAGTTGTATGATACGAGGAAAGCCCACCATCCTATGATATGGTTCTGCTGGCTTTCTCAGTCTGTGTGCATTCAGTGTAAATACCTGTAAAGTTTTCAGTAGTCGTTGTTAGTTGTAACTTGTAATGTTGTTGTACGTAAGGGGAAGCTTATGATAGAAATCACGTGTGCTTGAACAGCCCCCACGTGCTTAATATTTGGACTGAAGTGTTGGTTGCTGTATAAATTGCACCTTTGTGTACTTCCATCGTACAATATCCATCGACATCAATATTCACTATGGTCAGGTGTTAACCTTAAATGGAACCAACGAAAGCGAAAGATTGATCCTCAATTCATCTAACATGCACGTGAAGATTTACAGCACTCTTTTTTATTTCGATACAACAGTGTTGCTTGTGTAAGTGGAACATGGGTGGTTCTATCCCATTAACTCGGATGATAGACATTCCCCTAACTGGCCAGAATTGAGCCACTTCAAATCGCGGCAGCCTGCGATTCAGCCAAGGGCTTCCAGTACCTGTTGAGCAGCCACAAGGAATCGGCTTCGACAGCATAACCATCTTGATTCCGATGCCAACCGAAGTAGGCGTGTGTTCTGTTCTTTATGTCCAGGATTCCATGTCCGAAACTTGGTTCTCGGAAGGCCGAGTAAGCCGGCTGTGGCTCCATCATGCTTCACAGAACAAAAGGGAAAGAATCCATCAGTCATAAAAATGGTTAATAGTGTACCCAATGGAGGAAAACAAAAGGCAACCCTTTTGAGAGAGAGAGAGAGATAAAAGTTCTACTCTGTAACCAATCCTTCAAGATTCCCTCCATCTCCTATGGTGATGTGGACCGGAGCAGATTGATCCTCAACTGGAGTGCAGCGTGCGTTAACAATGTCGTACGCAATGTTTGATACGCGTTCCTGGGGACGAAGACCATATAAGAGCATTATTATGATGGATGGTTACATGGTCTAGTTACAGATGGACTTTAGGGGAAGGGGAGCATGAAATATGTGACTTATGAGTATGCATGATCCGATCCAGTCCAAAATAGAACCCGAATCAGCATAAAAGTATAACAAGAAAACAGGTTTCTCTTTTCTTTAATTGAACCAGATATTGAATACACACAGTGTGAACTAAATTGCTTCACGTTCTTGTGTCAAACCTACAAAACATCATCAATTTAAGATGTACATATTGAAGCTACCTCCGTTTCTGGAAAGCATGACATCAATCCATAAGACAAGGACAAAACTTTTTAAGGGGGAAAAAGGACAGTAGTGTGACAACTTGCTATTTGGAAAGGAAACTACACACTGTCTATTCATCCAACCACAACCACAAATTTCTGAATTTAGACTCTAGTCAATACAGAAGACGCGTCGAGAGGAAAACATGACACCGCACGAAAACAAGTTCAACGCGAACCAAAACCACCCATCGGATATAGGATGCAAACAGATTAGGAAAGAGGCGAGAAAGAGTAAATGTGTACTCACAGATCGTTCGTAAGCATGAACATGTCCAGCAAAGACAGCATCAACTTTGTATTGTACAAACCATTGCTCGTACATCACTCGCATGGTTTCCCCTTCCATATAGTGGTGCCCATAGCTATGATAGAATGGACTGTGCATGATGACTATGAGCCATGGTGTCACCGTCCTGTTCACTTTAGGCAGCTCCTCTTCTAGCCACTTGTATTGGGGAGTGTACTTCCCTGCAACAAAGGAAATTTACTCAAATTCACATATAATCTTCCATCCTATGTTGGGATATGCAAAATTAAGACAGAGGTCAAAACAAAGATTAAAAGCAATATTCAGTCCCTATAACTATAACCCATAATTAGCCCAGAAGCTCAGATCTATGATAATACGATTACCATAAGCAGAGTAGCTGGAGAGGACAATAATGTAAGCAGACGCCCTCTTAACAGAGTACCACAGTGGAGATGTACTGCCTGATGCTTTATATGGGACATGATAACGGTGCAAGTAAGGCTTGAAGGGTTTGGGTTCACCCTGCAGTTAAACACCAAACAACCATTTTGATCATCCATCACGTACACAAAATGCATAACTGAATATCAAGAGCAAAGGAGACTTTGAGTGAGGTCATATTTACATTGGCAGGGAGAAAATCAAGTTCATGATTTCCTGCTGTCCAGATAGAAGGTTGGTATGCTACCAATCTCTCAGTAAACCTTCCCCATGTATCCCACCTCGTGTTGTCATGCAACGGATAAGCATCAGCATAGGAGAGGTCACCCACAAACAGCAATGTCTTTGGCTCCCTAGGATTGGATAAATAGTGATCAATTGTCCGGTTCGAATCAGGGGTTTGACCCAGATCACCTATGAGGCCAAAAGTATAAGGGACATCAGGGCCTGGTTTAGGAGGTGTTGTGAACCAGAATTGCCTGGTCGAGTTGCTGCCAATCCCAACCTCGTAGTAGTACTTGGTGTCAAACTGTAACAGTTCATGTACAGAAACATGGTCATGAGATTTACAACAGTTAGAATACACCTATCCAGCTGCCAACTTTCTCAGTGAATTATCATATGGATCATGTATATACCTCCAGTCCTTTAATGGTGCAGTGATGAATGTAGCCAGAAGTATAATTGACATACTTGTACTTCACAACAATTCCTTCTGCACGACTCTTTATTTTGCTGCCTTCAGCCCAGTACTCAACTGTATTTGAGCCAGGCTCGTCTTGAGTCACCCAAGACACCAAAATCCCTTTACCTTCATGGTCTCCTTGTGTAATGTGCACCTTCACAGAACATTTCAGAAAAGAAAATCAAGACAAACAAATTTTACTTAAACTTATTTTGTATTCACTATAAACAGAAATAGAATGAATCAAGGAAAAATTAAAAGTCACTTTCTTCAAAGGGGTTGAATTGGATGCTCAATTGATCATGAGTATATAGATATCAGCAAACTAAAAATCCAATGCCAAACATAGAAAATCTGTTCTAGTTCCATTTATTGGGATCAAGGCAGAACATGCAATCAAAGTCAGGAACTTTCGAGCAAGTTGTCGTCTGGGATCCTGATTAACTAATCAGATCTTCAGTACACAAGCAACAGCAGCTATTTTGCTTCTTTAATTGGATCAAACTGCAAAAGAAGTTCGCAGCAAAAGTTAAAGAAGCAGGTTCACCTGTTGAGGAGCATTGTAACCGGGTGGGATTTTGAATACATCGCTGTCTAGCGGCATATCATGAACCAAATCAGAGTTTCTGACGAAAGTGCTGGTAATACCGCCATTGATGATCTCTGCAAAACCCAATACAACAGCCAAACCCAGTATAACCCAGTTCCTCCCCATCTCTGTGCCGATTCCCTGCTCGTTTCACAGATACCCAGAACCCTTATTGAATCATTTAAAAAACCATATCCAGTGCTTAAAAATAATCGAAGTACTGGGGGATGGGCGCCATGGAATATTCATGGTTTAGATGCTGAATGGGTTTCGTCTAAGATTGGCAGGCAAGCGACGTCGTTTCGTGAGTTTGCTTGCTGCATCGCGATTCGTGGAGACTAGAATATACACGAAATCGAGCAGGTTTCCGTTTGACTTTTCAAGAGCCACGAAACACGAAAGGAATGGGAATTGGGAACTCTGAAGGAAACCTCGTTGACGTCGACGACCCGACGGCCGGTGGTGGACTGGATTTCACGATTTGGGAACAAAGGAGAAGATCCAATGGGCTGCTGTTAGCTGGCCCATTTGGACCGAGTACGTTACCTGATGCTCCTTGGGCTTCAGTTGGATTTTCTGATCCAGTTGGCAAGTGTTATTTTTGTGCCTTTTGTTTTGTACATAAAATGGATGTGTGCCAAAATGAATGTCATCATCCTTAGTCCGGGTAAATTGCAAGTTTGGTCACTTGAATTACTATAAAATTTCACATTTGCCACTGGAATTATTTTATTCTATTTATGGTCACTTAGATTAGTTCAACGGTTCAAGTTTGGTCACTCTCTGTTAGTCTCCGTTATGTTTATCCTATGTGGCGGTCAACATTCATAGTTGACCGTTAAATAGATTGACGTGTCTATTTAAATAATAAAAAAATAAAAACTTTCAAATTTCCACCTCACAATCTCAAGCCATTCAAAAATCGAAAAAATCAAACTAATTTACTTTAAGGCCTCGCCAGTCGCCACCGTTGGAAGCAGGTGTTCGGAGGCAGAGAGCTCTCCCGACAGAAACAATGAGTAGATCTAGACAACGATACTCCTCCTCTCTTCCTCTAAACCAGCAAGTCACGATGGCAGCCGTCGCGAAGCCCGATTGTGGTGGTGGACGATGGTGGCTTTCCCTACCTCTCTCTCTCTCTTCCCGCTGCAGACGAGCAAGAGACAATCAAGGACGGATGAGATCTGACGACAAGGGCGGTGATAGCTCTCAATGAGAAACAAAATAGGAAGATATACTCATTATTGCCGCCGGTGGATGTCAAACCGGCACCTCCATCTTATACCCTAACAACAAACAAAAACCCAATTCAAGATTTAAAGAAGGAATAGACTTCTCACCTAGACAGATTTATACTTCCCCTGTTTCATTAACAGCCATTGAAATAAAAAAATCCAAACACAAAATCGATTGACTTTACAAACTGATTGAGAAAACTTTCTTATCCCCCATTGAAACACCAAACTTGCAATACAGTGAAAAGTCAAAATGAAGAAGAATCATACCTCTACTGTAACCTTAATGATATTGCCTCCGGAGTAGCGCCGCGGTGGCAAACCAAATCCTTATCTATCCTTCTTCACCGCTGGTTGATGTTTGCTACTGCCATGGGATTTCTGGGCTGCCCTTTCGGCATATCTACCCACCGCGAAACCTCCCTCTTTCAGTTTCCCGTCTGCCGACGCCTCAATCTTTGTCATCAAAACCCACTTGACCTCCCTTTCTGGGGTCAATTTTGGATGGAAATCGAGGAATAGGTTCGGAAAGAAAAACAATGAGTAGATATAGACAACGGCGGCGGCTGCGGAGGAACGAAAAACATATTAGTAATTGTGAGATCGGCGCTCCGGGAGAGCTCTCTGCCTCCTAACACCAGTTTCTGCTTCCAACGGTGGTGAGGGTTTAAAAGAAATTAGTTTTATTTTTCTGATTTTTGAATGGGTTGAGATAGTGAGGTGGAATTTTGAAAATATTAATTTTTTAATTTTTATTATTTTTTAAATAGACATGTCAGCCATTTAACGGTCAACTGTGAGTGTTGACTGCCACATAGGATAAACATAACGGAGAGTGACCAAATTTGAATTGTTGAACTAATTTAAGTGACCATAAATAGAATATAATAATTCCAGTGACAAATGTGAAATTTTATAGTAATTCAAGTGACCAAACTTGCAATTTACCCTCCTTAGTCCTTAGTCCTTACAAGCCAAATATCTAGTAGCAAAGTTACTCTCTCTACACATGGATATCACAACCTCTCAATCATAACTTAAAAACGATCCAATTTGATGCGCCCGAAGGTCATGTGGAGGTCATTATTTTTGCATTTTCTGATGATTTTGATGGTTGTGGTGGATTCTAGATTCACCTTAACTTTTTTGTACTTTCTCTCCCATGCAATTCTGAGCCTTTTGCAATGCTTTTCAGTTTCTCCCTTGCACCAGAGCAGCTTCACAGGTGACATACGAAAGCCTCCATGCATTAGTTGAGGTGATCCCTTAGCAATCGCCCCCTTAGCATGCTCTATCTGAGTAATGAGTAACGACGAATTCCTCGATTTGTACCTGAATCCATCATTCTTCAGGAGGGTTCCAACTAGCACGATTTTCGAGTTGGATTTGTTGGAAGGATGATATTTTCCACTCTTTGTTATGCTGGTCTAGCAATATCAAACTATGTCAAGATCCTTTGAATTAACCCTGCTTCAGAATATCCATACGCCAACATAAATTACCGCAATCTACCCAATTATCAACATCTTCAAGTTACCACTTAGCCAATTCAGAATGTCAACATTATAACATGATTCCAAAAAAAATTCAAAAGAAATCATAAATACCCGTTATTTTCCTACAATAAATGTGGTTATCATTGTATAAATCGTGTTATTGGTGGATTCGTGGATTGGATTGGTGGATTCATGGATCAAATGGATTGGATCCAATGGATTGGTGGATTCATGGATTGGATCAAATGGATTGGTGGATTGATCCATGAATCCAAATGACATCCAAGGCTTGGACCGAAATGTAAATTTTGAAAAGTTTAGGTACTAAAATGTCATGATGAAAAATTTTAGGTACCAAAATGTAATTTTCCAAAGATTTTTTCGTATACAAATATAAATTTTAGGTACCAAAATATAAAATATAAATAACATAGGTACCAAATCGTAATTTGCCATTTGGATCCATGGATTGATCCATGAATCCACCAATCCAATTAGATTTGGATCAAATGGACTGAATTTAAATGGATTGAATTAAGTGGATAATTTAATGGATGAATTGGATTGGATTCATGAATTTGGATCCTAATTGTCACCTTGTAACAAATTGCCTATACTTTGGTGAAAAGGGTCCCTGATTAATATATTTATTACAATTAAAATGATATTTCAAGTTTAACCAGGCTAGAAACTCTTTTTTATCATTTTGCTCCAACCCCCTTTATTCATAACTTGTGAACGTCGAACGAGTAAGCATCAGGACAACCTCTGCAGAATATTCTGATGCTTTCTTCATCTCAACCGTCATAGGGAGGGATCCAATTCCTGCACACATTTTTTTTATATTTAATCAGTATATTGACTTTATCAAATTGTCATTTGTAGCGGATTACTGGTAGAGTTTTCTAGTGAGCTCAAAATTGTACTTCCGGCCAGCTGCCGGCCCATTCTTTGTATCCTTAATATGGAACCATCTCATTCCATAAGCCATATGCATCCCTCCCAGTTGACCTCTTACCATTTCATCATCATCTGTAGTCACTTTCACAAGGAAGGGAAATTCTCAATTACCCACATAGATCGTTACTAAACTTTTGATCTATAACGAATACGTTACTAAACTTTGTCTACTATCCCGATTTGTCATTAAAGTTTGGAGGAGCTAACATAGTAATCGATGTGTTCATCTACATCGATTATACTTCCAATCGTATAGAATAGTGTGTCAAGTCAACCGAATTGATGATGAACTTATAAAAGACGATTACATACGAGCTACTAAGATGGCATGACATGTTAGCAAATGGTATAAGATTTCGTAATCGAATATCTCACAACAACTCGGGTTATTGAGACCAATTAGTTCTTTACATGGTATCAGAGTCTTTGATGAGCAAAAGGTCTTGTATTTTAATCCTGACAACCCTCATAAGTTAAACACATGATATTCGGACATCTGCAAACTTCAAACTCGTATGAGTTCGCTTTCGTCTGAGGGACTTTGGTATTAAATTATAAATTGAAACTCTCTCCAACAGTTCTAGTCACTGGAACAAACTTGTTACTAACAGGATAATTCAACTTTAACGCTTTAACTGACCTAGCCAAACCCATTTCTCGACCTCATTTCAAACCACGTTACCAAACATCGTTAATTAACTCCCTTCATCTCCACAATCTAACGACCAATCAGATTATCCATGTAAGCTATTTAGGTACTAATTTGGATGTGTTGACACTATTATCCAAAAAGTTCGAACACAAACACTTGACGAATGTGGATGACATATACTATTATGTCAGTTAAACTAAGATTTTTACCAAGCAATTGTTTGTCAATAATCAAATATTAGTGACCAATTTGTGATCAACCCAACGTTTAGCTATTGTTATGTAGTTGACCTCTCACATTACCTTCCTTCTGTGTAGCCGGCACAAAGGAGGGCTTAGTTACCCCCTCCAAATGTGTCCCGTTGGTAGCTTCATAATCATAACACGCCAACAGCGTAAGACAAACTAGAAGCTTTGTTCATGTCACAAAGGAACCGGCCATTTCAACTATATCTTACTCACGATTATAGCTCTCCAATCGGATTCAACTTTTGCATTAGAGCCACTCACCGAACCTGCCCCTTTTTCTTCCAAAATTATAAGGAGCGACCTCTCCAATGGACAACAGCAAAACTGAAGCATCCGAGGTGTCCTTCTCCCAGTCCATCGTTTCCAAGTTTGGCACTCTGCCCCAGAGCTTCACCAAAGACCAATACCACGACCAGGTAATTTCGTTGCCCTCTGTGCGTTTAAATCGTCTGCAAAGGATTCTATTCACGTTTCGTCGGAAAAAACAGTCAGTAGTAACAAAATGGGGGGGGCCCATGTTCTTCTCATCGCAGGATTCCATTGTTGTACCGGCCATGAATACCAATCTTGTCCAGAATGGTTCCCTCGATTTTCGAGGCAGGGTCGCCGACAAGCAGCTCACCGGAGGATGGAAGGGCGCTCCGTTCATAATCGGTACGATATATTGTGTACATTCCCTCGTTTTTTTTTTTAAATTAACATTTGAATTCTTGGACTGTAAGACATTTTGTAATGTGGATATGTAGTTAATGAAGTGGCTGAGAGGCTAGCTTTCTTCGCGATCGCGGTAAACATGGTGGCCTATCTGGTGCGAGAAATGCGGCAGACACTTCCGACGGCGGCGACTCACGTCACCGACTGGATCGGAGCGGCTTACGTCTTAACCCTCTTCGGAGCCTTCATCGCCGACTCGTATCTTGGCCGGTTCCGTACCATTATCATTTTCTCCGGTATCTACTCTGTTGTAAGTAACCAACAAAGGCCCAGATCAGATCACAAGATCTCGGCCCAGTGCCGTCGAGTCGGGCCTTTTTCCAAAATTTGAGCCCAATTGACTGTATGACGAAATTTCAAATTTGACTTTCCTTTAAATCTGAAAATAGGGGATGGTGATGTTGACCGTTTCCGCCTCCGTCGACGGCTTGCGGCCGCCGCCGTGCACAGCTCGGCCGTGCCCGAAGGCGACCGACGGCCAGACCGCCTTCCTCTACTCGGCTCTCGCGCTGATCGCGCTCGGGACCGGCGGGATCAAGCCCTGCGTCTCGTCGTTCGGCGCCGACCAGTTCGATGAGGCCGACCGGAGCGAGGAGAAGAAGAAATACGCCTTCTTCAATTGGTTCTTCTTCGCGATCAACCTGGGAGCGCTGATCGGAATCACGCTGATGGTGTATCTCGAGCTCAAGAAAGGATGGAGTTGGGGCTTCGCGGTGCCGACCGCCGCCATGTTGATCTCCGTCGTGATTCTCGCCGGCGGGTTCCGATTCTACCGGTACCAGAAGCCGATGGGGAGCCCCTTTACCAGGTTCGTTCAGGTAATCGTGGTTTCCGTGAGGAACCATTTCGATGGGGTGCGGGTGGAGAATGCAGGCCAACTGTTCGAGGTAATGACTCAGTCATCTGATATCGTTGGCGCCAGGAAACTTCCCCATACCAACCAATACCAGTAAGTCGTAAAAAAAATCGTACTTTCTAATGCTATTCGACCTAAATTGAACTGGGTTTACTCTCTATTATGTTACAATTGGCTCCATAATGTCATGTCCTGATAAAAAAATTTTCCTATTGTAAGGTTCTTCGACAAAGCAGCGATTGTGATAGATGCAGAGGTAGACTCAAGGAGCAGATGGAAACTCTGCACCGTAACCCAAGTGGAAGAATTCAAGTCATTCATCAGAGTGCTTCCAGTTTGGGCATCAACAATCGCTCTCTCCATCTGCTTCGCTCAGCTCTCGACCTTCTTCGTCAGCCAAGCCGCTATAATGAACCGCAAATTCGGGTCCTCCAACTTCGAGATCCCAGCAGGTTCAGTACCAGTCTTCTCAGCCATCAACGCCTTAATCCTCGTGCCCATCTACGAAAAACTGATCGTCCCGAGCATCCGCAAGCGCACGGGCCACCCTAGAGGCCTCACTTCCCTCCAAAGGATGGGCGTGGGGCTATTCATCTCAATCTTCGCCACGCTGTCTGCGGCAGTGGTGGAGAAGCGGCGAAGGGAAGACAAGGACAGAGCCAACATGACCGTGTTCTGGCTGTTCCCTCAGTTTTTTCTTATTGGCAGCGCGGAGGTGTTTACTTATGTTGGGCAATTGGAGTTTTTCTACGACGAGGCGACGGATGGCACGAGGAGCATAAGCAGTGCCATGTTTCTTTCGGAGATTGGGATCGGGAGCTGGCTGAGCACGGCGATCGTGAAGATCGTCGGGCGGGCGACGGGAGGAGAGGAGAGAGGGTGGTTGAGGAATCGGTTGAATGAGAGCAAGTTGGATTATTTTTACTGGGTGCTGACGGGGATCAATGCGGTTAATTTCTTGGTGTTCTTGGTGGTTGCTTGGTGCTACAAGAGCAGGGGAATGGTTGGGAGGGTGACGGATGAGGCAGGGGAAGATCAAGGAAAAGGTAATAATAAGCAGAATTTGGCGGGTGGTTTGAATAATGGAGGAGAGTTGAAGAGCATAGTTTTGTGAAAATTTCAAAAAGAAAATAGCATTTAAAACATTGTTGTTCCTTTTTTTCTATTGAGCACTTGTTAGTTAATTTACTGGAATAAATTGCGTGTGGATCTTATTTAGTAATTATTTAGCACCATGCTAATCACATTTCCAATCTGCCTACTAGCGACGATTGTTTGTGCAATCATTCACTCTCTCTTTATTGTGAGCGATAAAGGAGACTATACTCTTGAGTCTTGACAATTTAACCAAAAACCTATATGACCCACTTTTTATGTATAATATATGACCCATTTTTCATGTCTTGTTTTTGCTAGAGGATTTTTCCGAAAATGAAAAAAGTATCATGTCTTTATGATTTACTAGAGTAATTTATTTGATAATCGATTTTTTTAAGAAATTGTATGAATATAATTTAACATGTTCGATCTACAGTTAACCAAAAAATTGAAATCAATTAGCACCTTTGAAACCATCTACCATCATACTATGTTCGAATATATCATTTCCTTGAAGTCCTCTTAAATGTAAGTATGAATTCATTGTTATAAGATATAACAAAAACAAATCTCATTTATCTCTCTCTTAAACGAGCTGAATGAGTCCTCTGCCAATCTACTAGAAACATAAATTCTTCTTGTAATTAACTTTGATTGACCACGAAAACTCAGTGAATACAGATAACCAATTTTGTGGGACAGGTTAGCATGCTAACCCCTTAAGGGGTTGGTTTTTTGACACCCCAATTTAATTGGTCAATTTTTCATTAATTATTGACAAGTATTAATGAAAGTAAACATAATAAATGTTCTGTTATTAAATACAAAGTAAGCATTAAATACACCACATTAATTACCACTTTAATTTGTACCACCACAGTGGTACAACGTACCAGTACAGTGGTATATCTACCAGTACAGTGGTACAACGTATCAGTGCAGTGGTATATCTACCAGTACAGTGGTACACCGTATCAGTGCAGTGGTATATTTTTTGGAGGTGGTCGGAGGGAGTCTGCCGATGGGATTTTCACCGGAGAAGTGTGGCGGTCGGAGGAAGTCTGGTGGTCGGAGACTGCTGAAAAAGGAAAAATCAAATATAGTGAGAGAATTCCTAATGTGTATTTAATGTGTGTATTTAATTCCTAATGTGTATTTAATAGTGAGAGAATTCCTAATTAATATGGTACATTTAATTCCTAATGTGTATTTAATGTGTGTATTAATTATTGTGTATTAATTATAGTTGTATTTAATATACTAGGGGGCGTCATTTTTCCAACCCCTAAGGGGGGTTAGCATGCTAACCGACCCCCAATTTTGTTTATATACACCGAAGAGAGAGAAAGCGGAAAAATTACATTAGACCTAACGGTCAGGTAAGAAATTAAGTAATGATCCTTAGAAACTTAATAACTAGTACACATTGTATGAAAAATCTCCATATTGATCCTACTATTCTCTAATACAATTGGCAAGGAAATTATTACGTTGGGTTGCTAGCCTAAGGGTGGAAGATGTTATGGCTAATTGGGTTGCTAGCCTAAGCACGAAAATGTAGAATTAATTACGAGAAAAAGACATACACAAGACAAACGATAATGGAGATACCATTCACATCACTAGTTAAAATATTTAGTTTTTTCCCTCTTTCGAAAATTGATTCTTATTGACATCAGTCCTCATTATGTCTCTCTTTACTCTCTCACTACAATCTAAAACCTCTCAACTTCACACAAGCATTTCAACTACCCCTTGGGAAGCATTTAATGACCTCTTTTCAAATATGCAAAAGGCAGAAGTGCCAGACCCTTGCCTTAAAGTTGCAATAGAAGATGAACCCAATCTCACAACCACCAGAGATATGCAATCTGCATCCAACAAGGGACCATCATTTATGAGGGCTGGTTTGAAGTCAGGAAAGTAAAGAAGTGCCCAGTTCTCCTACCATTTAGAAATCCTGCTATTCGGGTGACGACAAACCCCTCTATCCCCAGCTGGCCTACAGAACACATCCTCTGGAAACCTCCTCCATGGATCCCAACCAGAAGACATTTATTCCTCTTCCCCGTCTCTGCACCAACATATGCCCCTGTAGCATACATCAACTATGGCATTTACGTGAAGGGAGGCTGGAATATCGAGCCACACAAAAGGGAACTTCTCAGTACAAATTGGATCTTCAAGATTTTCTCGGGGAGCTGGTCCAAGCAAATAACCAAGTAGAGTAGGGCCATCTGGTTATCAATTTCCAAGCTCAAGGAGCTGGATCTGGAGGAAGGGAGAACACAGTGCTGATCATTAAATGGCTAGCAAATAACAATACTTCTCTGGGGAAGGCAATTAACGCGACTCAAAACAAATGGAGGGGCCAAGGAGAACTCAGCGTCAAAAGGGAGGAGGAAAACCTCTTCGTCTACTCATTCAACACTGTTGCTGCTAGAGAGGCGATCTGGAATTCTCGCCCGTGGAGCCTAACAAACACACTGGCGGGTTTTCCTAAACCATCCCCATCCCCACTTTAAAATATCTATACCCATACCCACCCCATACTCGTGTGGGCGAAGGTTTTGCAAACTCATCCCCATGGATTTCGGGTACCCATGCGTAATACCCGCCCCGTACATTCAACATGATAATACCAAATATTTTACATGTAGATTTTAAATTATAACCTTAAACGCACCTACTATATCATGAAGTCGACAAAGAGACAATCATTTTTAATACTATTCAAAGCATATTATCCTAAAGCATCCATTAATCCATATTAGAGTAGAGTACAATGTCATCCAAATCATTATTCTCTACTCTGATACATCTATTAAGTAATAATTAAATAACATAATCTTCTTAACAAGAGGAAAAATTGAACAAGTGAAGGGAAATTGAGAGAAAGAAATTAGATTTTGATTTGGGTGGCCACTCAATTGCATTTCTACTATATAATTTTCTTCAGTTATACTCACTATTATTGATAATTTACAAATTGATTCACATATTTTTCATATATGAAGAAATATTTTTGATGGGGCGAGTATGGGTATGGGGCGGGGGAGGCTAAAACCATACCCGCCCCATACCCATCAAACTTTTTGCGGGTTTTACCCATACCCGGCCCATACCCGGTCAATGCGGGGATTCCCCGCGTTGACTGGGTCGGGGGGAGGGGGGGGTCGGATACCCGTGGGCATGAGTTTGATTTCCATCCCTAACTATTGGCATTCCAAAAGTGGGATGGAGGGACCAAACCGGAAGAAGTGTATTTCCCATCTGTCACCCTATGGGTTCAATGTCACGATCTCCCGGAAGAACTGAAGGGAGAACAGGACACCGAAACTATTATTGGATTCGTCTTCCCCAAAGTGCACAAAGTTGACACATCAAGCCTTGAAGCAGCCGGCTGGATGAGATTCACCTTAGTGCTAGTGGAAGTTGACCTCCAAGAACCAGCGCCGACTGGTTTCGAATACCCTGTGGGGAGGAAGCTGATGTGGATCATTTTCAAGTATGAGAAGGTCTCGGAGCTTTGGTACTTTTGCAACATAATTGGACACCTGATCCATGTATGCCAGGTGAGAGAAGAGATCAGGAGGAAAGGGGGAAACATCGAGCCATCGGGGTTGTACACTTCGACGCTGAAGGTTGGGATTGATTCACCGGCACCATCACCGTCGGAGTCTTTTCTCCACAAGGTACGAGGGCAAAGGGAGACTGAAACTGCCCTGCTGAAGAGAGGGAGTACTGCATCCCCACGTGCCTGGGGAACCCAACTCCAACTGCTCGCTTGTCTCCTTACAAGCAATCCTCGCCTGCTACTCCACCTCAGGTTGGGAGCCTTATCTTTCTCGGTTAGAGATCCATAACATATACTGATCTCTTTCCTCTATCTCCAAGTACTACTGAGAGACAAATCTTCTCTCCTAGAAGACTTGAAGAAGACCTAGAAGAAGTGGCGGAAGCTGTCCGCCATTCTATTGACCTCAACATAGAGGCAAACCTTAGAGGCCTTAGCCCAACTACTTTTGAAAATAGTGGGCCTAGGGGCTTAAGCCCAATGACTGGCAAGGAAGGAAAGGGCTGGAGGTCTAATTCGCAAGGCCCAGAAGTAGGAGGAGGACAACACAACCTCTCTATGATCCAGGAAGCCTAGCTGAATTATGAAAGGGCCCTTGGCAGAGCTGAAAAGAAAAGGAAGCCAGATTGGCTACTTAACTTGGGTACCAGCCCAATCGATGAAACCATCCCCCCAGGTTGCAACAAGAACCTGACGTTCAGTCCAGGTTCAATAGAGGTAGGAATGAAGGAGCAAAGAAGGAAGATGATAGGAAAGAAGAAGATTTCCTCAGGTTAGTACATTGAAACTCAGAAAATAGGGGACTCGGCTTCCATTCTCAGGCAACGGTGGATCGCCTTAAGCCACCAAATCCGGAATGAGAATCATAAGTTGGAACTGTAGGGGGTTTGGCCAACTCCTTACACACAGCTACTGTAGAAGATTTTGCATGTCAATATGCCCCTCTATTTTGTTCCTCATGGAGACTAAGAATGAATAAAGCTTGATGGAGGAGAAGAGGAAGCATATGCAATTTAATCATGCGGAATATGTTAATCCTAGTAAAGGTGGCAACGGTTTAGCCATTTGGTGGAAGACTGGAGTCTTGGTCCAAATTTTAGATTCCAGTTCTAATTTCATGGATGCATGTATTAGCTATGCCAGTAGTTTCTTATGTACGCTTTTGCATGCCTCGACCACTGCGATGGAAAGAAGGGCTTTTTGAGAGCGTATGAGCTCTTTTCATAGTAGTGTAGATGAAAAATGGCTAATTGTAGGAGACTTGAACGTGGTACTCTATGATCACGAGAAGGAAGGGAGATGTCCCTTACGCAATGAAAATGTTACTCCGTTCAAGTATTTCATCTCCAATAACGCTTTGATGGACCTAGGATTCAAAGGGGAAAGGTTCACGTGGTCTAACAAACAACAAGGCTAGAATCTCATCAGGTTAAGGTTGGACATAGCGTTTTGCTCTGCTGCTTGGCGGGGGGCGTTTGAAAAGGTTGTTGTTTACGAAGAAATGATAGAATCAGACCACTATTTGATTAGATTGGAT